TCTACTCTTGAAGGTTTTTTTCAAAAATTTATTGGTTGGGTATTTTTTTTATTCAGAGCAAAGCCACATTGGGCTATCTGTTGTGTTCACCGTGGGAATCGAACTCTGGATTTTAGTGTAATAAGTTGATAAACTTACCGTTGTCTCATCGGGAGACATGCAAGAGGAAAGCCCTAAAAATAAATATAAAATACTTTTATTTCCTAAATAACTCAAATTTTTTAATACTGTAAATACTTTTAGTTTTCTTTCACTTATATTATTTCGTACTGTGTATGGACTCTGAAGAAATTTCCTATACTTCGAAAACGAAGAATTGAAACAGTAATTACTTATAAAGTATAAATTTTCGACAAATTTCTAACTTTGCGTATGAATACATAATATTTCTTACGATGCGGTTGAACTACTTTTCATGTCGTGCATTAACGGAAGTGTACAGGGTGAGTCATTTTCCGACGGCATTGCTGATACTAGTGGATATTGAAAGTGAAACGAAATAAAAATTTGCTGCAGTGTAATTGAATTATTTTCTGATATAAAATATTTTTGGCAACTAGACTTTTAATATTCCTGCGTAAACATGTCAGAAAGAGAAGACAGTGTATACAAGGCCAAATTGGCAGAACAGGCAGAACGCTATGATGGTGAGTTGAAGAATTAAGTTAGGCCTAATTCGATAACCTCGTAAGTCAGACTAAGAATAAGATGAGTAAGAATTTGTAATTTTGAAGTTATATTACTGATACTAGTGACAGTAATAATTATATTTTCTAATTTAAGTTATGTTATAAGTATACATAGACACTAGTTTCACATAATTTTGAGGGAGATAGAAAAGTTTTTTAAATGAAGTAATTTCAATATCATATTCGTATTCATATTATTAGTATATTACCATTTACATTATTACTATTAGTATTACTATATTAGTAATATTACTAATACTGCAACTGCCAGTACAAGTACCACACTAAAGACAAAAGAGTTAAAAAAATAGAAATGCACTGCACACTGAAGTTCAACCCAATGTAAGGTGTACGTTGTAACACTATACTACTACTATTAGCAGGGTCTGTTTATACTTTTGTGACTAATACTAATAATTTTTATTTTTTTAACTGCAGGTTCTTGCAGGTGTTTCATTTTATCAGAACATATTAATTTTTCCTACCTACTACTAGTAGTATTAGTTGGCCTGAGATTATCTTCTCAATTCTATGGTGTATAAACAATATAATGTTAATTTTTTGTGAACTTGTCATTGGAGCAATTTGTTATAATGGTAATTTAAAAGTAATTACATTATTTCAACAAAATGTATGTGATTTCTATCAACATAATGAGTATGTTGGTTTTTTTCACACAAGTTAAGAGGGGAATTTTTTTTCCAGGTTTAATAACCACCATTTGCACTGTGTTTGCTTCTGACATTTACTGTGCATTTCTGTAAAATGTAATAAGTAGTTGTAAAATGTTTAAATTAGTTACAGTTGGATGAAGTGTACATGGCAGTTATGAAGTTTGAGAAAATTTAATGTTTATCTCTCTAACTTTCTCAATACAGGCTTGGTCCCTGGGACTGACATGGGACCATTTTTACTTGTACATAGTTTTAATACTATAACTTTTAATACAGTGTGTATCTTCACAAAATTTGGCAGACTTTTAGTACACATGTATTTTTTACACACAAAATCAATTTTTTTAATTAAGTATTTTTACTAAACGTTTGTCCATGAATATGTCGAGAATTTGTTTTGAATAGTCCTTATGTAATGTAATTTTTTCATGTTAAGATTAAAAAACTTTTCTTCATCTCAAAAATCTCAGATTTAATTTGTGCATTCTCTAAAACCTCCTAAATACATTTCAAATGTTTGTTTTCACTAAAACTATACTTAATCTGTTATTTTCGCTACCCTAACTCCATACAATGTCGGTCAATTTGACCGACCTCGTAACCACCAAAAATAAATCTAAATTACCCTTTTTTTCTTTCTATAATGACTTCAAATTTTAAAATGAAACTACATTCATTTATCCTAAGTTTAACTCATAATGGTATGCATCTATTTCTAATTAAATTTTATTGTTTTATTGCTCTTTGAACTGTGTCTGCCTACTACTCATGCCATTATAAGTTGTAAATCACTTAACTAATCTAATCTTAACTAACGTAAAGAGATCCACATTTTACAGTTTAGTTACTTTTATAATAATAAATAAAGAATAAACATGAAAAACAAGAAAAAAGGTATTTACCCAAATCTTCGTTTTACTTGTTCTCACTTGCACAGGTCTGCAATGGTCTTGAAATTTTTACATGTTCTACAGTAATTCCTGTATGCTGAATTTGAAAATATCCATTTTTCACCATCACATACAGATTTCTCACAAAATGGCCATATGTTCTTTTACATAAGTGAATCATTTTCATTGAAATCAGATCACATTTTGTTATGCTTAAAATGTTGACAACCACTGGCTATATATTTCTCTAGACCAATCACAGCATGAGAGTCTTATTGGTCATTCTAGAACCCAAACATATTCTCTTATATTTGTGGTAAATTTGTTGTAAAAAAACAAAGGCAAAACATTACAGAATTCATTAGAAAAGTGTATTATACTTATTTTGGAATAAAACTTGGGGGCGAAGACAATTCATGGGCTCTGCACAAAGTTTACAATATTTTTGTTGAAGAGTTGAGACAATGGACTAAAGGTAAGAAAAAGTCTGATTTTGGAATTCCACTGGTCTGGCGTGAGCCTACAAACCATGGAGATGACTACTATTTTTACTCATGTAACGTGCAAGGCTACAACACTTGAAATAAAAAGGGAATTTCTTATCTTCTGAACCTTAAATCTGCTATAAGACCTGTTGCTAATGGACCTGATGTACCTGTACCACCAGAGACAATTGATACAGTGTCATCTGAATCTGATGTCAATAAAAATGATGATAGAAATTTTGGTCTTCAGGCTGAGAACTTACTTTCTCCAGGAGCATCATTTTACTTGTACAGAAATCATGAGAAAGAGTTTAAACCATACATTTTGCAAGAAGGTTCACTGGTTTATTGCAACAATATTGCTTAATTAATACCAATGCTAGGAACTGCAGTCTATAAACCAAGTGAGTGGCAATTGTTTGTTGATTCCTCCAAAAGAAGTCTAAAAGGTATTCTCCTTCACAATGGTAACATATATACATCTGTTCCTATTGTTCATTTGGTTTACTTGAAGGAAATGTATGTAAATCTCAAACTTCTTCTTAATAAGATCAGATGCAAACATGGTTGGCTACTTTGTGAAAACTTAAAAGTCCTTTGTTTGTTGTTGGGTCAACAATCTGGTTATACAAAGTTTTCATGTTTTTTGTGTGAATGGAACAGCAGAGCATGAAATCAGCACTGGATAAAGAAACCATGGCCATGCAGAGTCAGCCTGATACTGGGATTCACAAACATTGAACGTGAAAGTTTAGTTGACACAAAGAAAGTCCTATTACCTCCATTTCACTCAAAACTTGGCTTGATGAAGCAGCTTGTAAAGACCTTAGCAAAGAACAAGGGGAAAGATTTCATTAAGACACCAGGGAAATGGAGAGGAGGTATTGGGGAAGGTGGAACATTAGCATAATGGCTGATTACTGTTGGGAATTGAAACAAGTTGCTCCAGATGCAATACATAAAAGAAAGACCATAACACATAGTTTGAGACTAAAAGACTTAGATTTCACAAAAATATCAGGATGAATGAGGATGCATATTCGTTTGACATCAATGTTCTTCCCTTTTCTTCAGTTTGTTTGTATTTTTGTTAACAAATATAATAATAAAAAATGTTCATTGTGATAAAAAAAATAACTTGATTTAAGTAGGAGGTTTTTTCTTCCCCACTTGTAAAAAATCCTTACGTTGTAGAAAAAAATGAATAAAAGGGAAGAACATCGATGTCAAACGAATATGCATCCTCATTCATCCTGATATTTTTGTGAGATCTACGTCTTTTAGTCTC